AATCAAATCAGTGATTCAGAATATAAAGAAGCAAAAAAGAAAACAAAAACAAACAAACAAACAAACAAAAACACCCAATCAGAACAGCAAGAAGAAAAAAAATCCAAAAATATGAAAATAGTGTAAGGAGTCTCTGAGACAATTTCAAGTGTACCAACATTCATATCATAGGGTTGCTGGAAGAAAAGAGAGCAAGATATTGAAAACCTATTTGAAATAAATGACAGAAAACTTCCCTTACCTTGTGAAGGAAACAGACATACAAGTCCAAGAAGCACATACAGTCTCAAACCGGATGAATACAAAGAGACCCATACCAAGACACATCATAATTAAAATGCAAAAGGTTAGAGACAAAGAATCTTAAAAGAAAAAAAAAGCAGTTGGTTACTTACAAGGGTACTCCAGTAAGACTGTGCTGATTTCTCAACAGAAACTTGGCAGGCCAGAAGGAATTATTGAGAAATATTCAAAGTGGTAAAATGCAAGGACCTACAACCAAGATTACTCTACCCAGCAAAGCTATCATTTAGAATCAAAGGACAGATAAAAAGCTAAACAACAAAAAGCTAAACGAGTTCATCACCACTAAACCAGTATTACATGAAATGTTCAAGTGTCTTCTTTAAGAAGAAGAAGGAAAAAGATTTTTAAAAATATGAACAATAAAATGGCAATCAATACGTATCTATCAACAATTAAATCTGAAAATCAAAATAAATGAACAAGCAGAACAGAAACAGACTCATAGATACAGAGAACATTTTGACAGTCGCCGGATGGGAGGGGGGTTGGGGAGATGAATGAAAAAGTTGAAAGGATTTAGAAGTACAAATTGGTAGATACAGAGTAGTCATGGGGGTGTAAAGTACAGCATAGGGAATATAGTCAATAATGTTCTAATAACTATGTATGGTGTCAGATGGGTAGGAGATTTATTGGGATGATCACTTAATAAGTTATAAAATATTTAATCACTAGACTGTACACATGACACTAATATAATATTGCACGTCAATTGTAATTGGAAAATTGAAAGTAATTTTTAAAAAATTTGAGAACTGCAAAAAAAAAAAAAAGAGAAAGATGTCAAAATCCAACACCCATTCACGATAAAATCTCTCAGTAAATTAGGGGTAGAGGAGTACTGCTTCAACTTGATTACAAATATTATATAAAAAATGTACAGGTAATTTTATAATTAATGGTGAGAAACCTGAAGTTTTCACACTAAGATGAAAAGGTGCTGTTTTTCAACATCCTACTGAAAGTCCTAGCTAATGCAATAAGGAAAAAAAGAAATAAAAGCTATACAGATTGGGAAGAAAGAAATAATCATGTCTGTTCATAAGATGATATGATCATCTATGTAAAAATTCCAAAATAAACAACAAAAAACTCTTGGAACTAACCAGAAATTATGGCAAGATTGCAGATGCAACATAAATATTAAAAAGTCAATAGCTTTCCTATATACCATCAATGAACAAGTGGAATTTGAAATTAAAAACACAATAACATTTACATTAGCATCCCCCCAAAAAGAAACACTAAGGTATAAATCTAATGAAATATATTCAAGATCTATATGAGGAAAACTATAAAATCTTGATGAAGGAAATCAAAAAGGAACTAAATGCATGAAGAGATGTTCTATGTGTGCAGATAGGAAGGCTCAATGTTGTCAAGATGTCAGTTCTTCTCAGATTGACCTATAGATTCAACCAAATCCCAATGAAAATCCAAGTAAATAATTTTTAGATACCAACAAACGGATCCTAAATCGTATATGAAGAGGCTAAAGATCCAGAATGGCCAATCCTATATTTAAAGAGAACAAAGTTGCAGGACTGACACTACAAGACTTCAAGACTTACTATAAAACTATTGTAATCAAATTGTCTGTATTGGTGAGAGTATAGTCAAATAGATCAATGGAAATGAATAGAGAGCCCAGAAATAGACCCACATAAATACAGTCAATTGTTCTCTGAAAAAGGATCAAAAGCAATACAATGGAATAAGGAGAGTCTCTTCAACAAATAGTGCTGGAGTAACTGGACATCCACATGCAAAAGAATTAATCTAGGCACAGACCTTATACCCTTCTCAAAAATGATCTCAAAATGGATAAAAAATCTAAATGTGAGAAAGATAATATTGGAAATAATCTAGGTGATTTTGGGTATGGCAAAGACTTCCTAGATACAGCACCAAAATAATGATCCATGAAAAAAATAATTGATAAGATAAACTTCATTAAAATGAAAATTTTCTATTCTGAAAAAGACAATGCCAAGAGAATGAGAAGACAAGCCAAAGACTGGGAAACAATACTTGCAGAAGACAGATCTGATAAAAGACTGTTATCCAAAATGCACATAGAACACTTAAAATTCAACAATAAGAGAAGAAACAACCCAATTAAAAAATGGGCAAAAGAGAGGGGTCAGATTCCCAGATGAGGTGGAAGCATAGGTAGATACACTTTGCCTCCTCACACAACCAAAAGAAGGACAACAAATTTAAAAACAAAAAACAACCAGAACTGCCAGAAAATAGAACTCTATGGAAGTCTGACAGCTAAGGAGTTAAGAAACATTTATCCAGACTGATTGGAGTGGCAGAGTTGGGCAGCTGGGGAGGAGAGGATGCGTGGCAAGGCAGCAGCTGGAGGACTGGGCAAGGCGGCAGCTGGCAGACTGGGAGACCCCACATTTGCATGCAGATAGACCAGGAGGAACAACTGGGGAGCAAGACAGACCACGCAACCCAAGTTTCCAATGTGGGAAAAGAAAGCCTCAAAACCTCTGGCTCTAAAAGCCTGTGAGGTTGCGGAGTGGGGAGAAACCCCCAGCCTCACAAGAGAGTTTATTGGAGGGACCCAGAGGGTCCTAGAATGTACACAAAACAACCCACCCAGGAATCAGCAGCAGGAGGGCCCAATTTTCCTGTGGGTAGCAGAGGAAGTGACTGAAAGCGGGGCTAAGGTTGAGCAAGAGGGATTGTTCATTCTCTGACCCCTCCCCCACATGCAGCGCCACAACCCAGTGATGTGGGTTGTCCTGCCCTGGTGAATACCTAAGGCTCCACCCCTTACAACATAACAGGAGCGCCAAGACAAAGAAATATGGCCCAAATGAAGTAACAGATAAAAACTCCAGAAAAAAATACCACTAAGCAATGAAGAGATAGCCAACATATCAGATTCAGAGTTCAAAACACTGGTAATCAGGATGTTCACAGAAATGGTTGAGTATGGTCTCAAAATAGAGGAAAAAATGAAGGTTATGCAAAGTGAAATAAAGAAAAATACGCAGGGAACGAACAGTAAAGAGAAGGAAACCGGGACTCAAATCAATGATTTGGAGCAGAAGAAAGAAACAAACATCCAACCAGAACAGAATGAAGAAACAAGAGTTCAAAACAAATGAGGAGAGGCTTAGGAACTTCCAGGACAACTTTAAACGTTCCAAATTCCAGATCATAAGGGTACCAGAAGGAGAAGAGGAAGTGCAAGAAATTGAAAACCTATTTGAAAAAATAATGATGGAAAACTTCCCCAGTCTGGCACAAGAGCTATACTTCAAGGAAGTCCAGGAAACTCCGAGAGTCCCAAAGAAATTGGACCCAGGGAAGCACACACCAAGGCACATCATAATTGCATTACCTAAGATTAAACATAAGGAGAGGATCTTAAAAGCAGCAAGAGAAAAGGAGACAGCTACCTACAAAGGAGTTCCCATAAGACTGTCAGCTGATTTCTCAAAAAGAAAGAGGCTGGAAAGAAGTATTCAAAGTCATGAAAGGCAATGACCTACATCCAAGATTACTCTATCTAGCAAAACTATCATTTAGAATGGAAGGGCAGAAAAAGTGCTTCCCAGATAAGGTCAAGTTAAAGGGATTTATCATCACCGAGCCCTTATTATGTGAAATGTCAAAGGGAATTATCTAAGAAAAAGATCAAAACTATGAACAGTAAAATTACAACAAACTCACAACTATCAACAACTGAACCTAAAGAAAAAAACAAAAACAAACTAAGCAGACAACTAGAACAGGAACAGAATCACAGAAATGGAGATCACATGGAGGGTTATCAATGGGGAGGGTATGGGGGAAGAATGGGGGAAAAGATACAGGGAATAGGAAACATAAATGGTAGGTACAAAATAGACAGGGGGAAGTTAAGAATATTATAGGAAATGGAGAAGCCAAAGAACTTGTATGTATGACCCATGGAAATGAACTAAGGGGGTAGAATGCTTGTGGGAAGTGGGGTGCATGTGGAAGGAAATAAAGGGGAGAAAAATGGAACTTTAATAACATAATAAAATATACTTTAGAAAGGGGATAGATAGATAGATAGATAGATAGATAGATAGATGATAGATAGATAGATAGATCGATAGATAAAAAGAGGTTGGTCAGCTACGCCTGCTAGATGAGGTTTGGCCAGGAGAGCTGGAGAAACTCTAGCATAAACTCTAGCAATGTGGACATTCTGAAGTCAGAGAGTCTCTGGAAGAGGCAGTTGGCAGAGGATCAGAACATGTTGGTGGAACAAGCCTTCAGTTCCATGGAGAAAAAGAAGCTAATGGAGAAAAAAGAAGCCAGGGGCAAGAAATCCCTCCTCATTTCCTCTGTTAAAATGAGAAAATAAAAAATATTTCAAGCATAGTGAGCATGCAAAAAAAAAAAACACCCCAAAAAACAGGAAGCATATTATGAAAGATGTGGCTACAAGCCAAAAGGGGAGGACCAGAAACCATCAGCTTCATTGAATCTAGTATTAGAACTTGGACTGGCATAGAAAAAGTTACCCATGACTCTTTCTAGGCAAGAGTACTGTCAGCCTCACCCCCAGTTTCTAACAGAGGAAAAGGAAAAGATGCCACCAAGGCTGGATGCGGCGCACCCCCGGGGGCCTGACTTAGGCACAGCTCCAGATTCCATTTGCCACGTTGATGATAAAAACTTCAGATAGGAGACCTATAATGGTGGAAGAGTAAGTGGAAGCTACGCTAACTTCCTCCCAGGACCAAACTGAAATTACAACTAAATTATAGAGAAATCATTCTAAATAACCAATTGACAATCTGCTGGAGAGAAGCCTTAAAACCACAGACAGAAGAAGCCACACCACAATGAGGCTGGTTATCAGAAGACTGAAAGAGGAGAACCAATCAGACTATTTGGAGAAACTGATTATGATGTTTTTCAATGTTGAAGAAAAATAGAGATCCTCACACCAAAAGTTAACAAGAGATTGAGGAATAATCTCAAAGCAACTTTGGATAAGTTTGATCAGCAATACCTCAATGAACTTGTGGGTGGTCAGGAATCTGGAGAGGAAGATACACAGAAGGATTTGAAAGTTCATGAAGAAAACACCACAATAGAAGAGTTAGAGGCATTGGGAGAATCTTTAGGAAAAACTGATGATCATAAAGTCATGAACATCATTACCAAATTCCTTACATTCCAAGTTGGTGTTTGGGCTAAAGGATTGAATGGCAGAGGACCATGTGAATTGCAGTGTGCAGGGTAAACTGAACAGTGCTAATCAGAAATAGTCCAAGTCCTCTCTCAGGCCTCTTTTCAGAAAGCTACCGAAAAGGAGTCTTCCTGCTGATAATAAAGAATCCATAACAGAAAGTATTGAATTCATGTTGCAGAGAGAATATGTGAAGGTTAGTGATGCTAATCTTCAATCCACTGAGCCACACCAGCCAGGGCTAGTGACGCTAATCTTCAGATGGCCCCTGGAAATGACGCTTGGCCCATTGATATCACTATGGTTGGTATCCATGCCAGAACGGGTAGGGAAAAAAATTTTCTCCAACTACATTGCACATATTTTAAATGATGAAACACAGAGGAAATATAATCAGGGATTGAAGAGTTTAATGACCATTTGCCAGAAGCACTTGGTTATAGGTCTTCACTTGTCATGACTGAATTTTTTTCTTTTTTCAGAAATAAGCTGACAGTCTTATGGGAATTTCTCTGTAGGTAACTAACTGCTTTTCTCTTGTTGTTTTTAAGATTCTCTCTTTATCTTTAATCTTTGGCATTCTAATTATGATGTGTCTTGGCATGGGCCTGTTTGCATCCATCTGGTTTGGGATTCTCTGTCCTTCCTGGGCTTGTATGTCTATTTCCTTTACCAAATTAGGGATGTTTTCTGTCATTATTTTTTGAAATAGATTTCCAATCTATTTTATTGTCGGTATGCTTGAAATTGTCCTGGATCTCCTTTATCTAATATTTTAAATAATATTGTCTTGTGTTTTGACCTTTACAAAGATAAATAATCCAGAATCCATTATTTTAAAAATTCTACTGCAGAAATGTTAGAAGATTTGACTTTAGAAGTTGGAAAGAACCCCTCTGTGTTTCATTTTCCCCTTCTGTAACATGGAGAAAACAATTGTCCCCACCTCATGGGTTGTGGTTTTGAGAATGAGTTAATACATGAAAACATAAAATACTGCTAGGCAAATAACTCAAAGAAATGCTACCTGTTTTAAAAAGTAGAATGTGAGGATTTTATAGTTTGCACATTTGTTTAAAAGCTTAAGTCTTCTTGAACAGACACTTCTCCAAGAAGGATATACGGAGAGCCCATAGACACATGAAAAAATGCTCAACATCACTAGCCACCAGAGAAATGCAAATTAAAACCACAATGAGATACCACTTCACACCAGTCAAAATGACCACCATTAATAAATCAACAAACAACAAGTGCTGGCGAGGTTGTGGAGAAAAGGAAACCTAGTACACCATTGCTGGGAATGCAGACTGGTGCAGCGACTGTGGAAAACAGTATGGAATTTCCTCAAAAAACTAAAGCTGGAACTGCCTTTCGATTCAGCAATCCCATTGCTGGGAATATATCCTAAGAATCCCGAATCATCAGTTCGAAAGAACCTATGCACCCCAATGTTCATAGCAGAATTATTTACAATAGCCAAGTGTTGGAAACAGCCTAGGTGCCCATCAGTAAATGAGTGGATCAGAAAACTGTGGTACATTTACATAATGGAATACTACGCAGCAGAAAGAAAGAAGGGACTCCTACCCTTTGTAACAGCATGGTGGAACTAGAGAGCATTATGCTAAGTGAAAAAAGCCAGGCACCGAAAGACAAATACCATATGATCTCACCTATAAATAGAACCTAATCAACAAAACAAATGAGCAAAATAGAACCAGAGACTTGGAAATAAAGAACAAACTGACAGGGACCAGAGGGGAATGGGGAGGGTTAAAACAGGGGAAAGAAGGGGAAGGGGCAAGCAAAGGAGCACTAATAGAGGACTCATGGGCACCAACAATGGAGGAGGATGTGGTAGGGGTGAGCAATGGGGAAAAAGGCAGGACGACTCTAATTGAACAACAAAAATAATAAAATAAAATAAAATCTTAAGTCTTACAACTCAAAACTATTCATTAACTGTTGAATATTTTAAATCACTAATTTTCATGATAACCCCTCTTGAATATCTAACTAATTACCATGAGAACATAGCTAAAGAACTTGGAACAACTGATCTCAGGAAACACCACCACCATTTCTGCACGTGGCTGAACAAAAGGTGAAGGCTCATCTGGGATCCTGCTTTCTCATGTACCCTCTATGGACAGCCACTGCAGGTACCCTATCTCCAACATACCCCGTCCAGAACTACCCCTGTCTTCTGCACACTGCTGCAGTACTGGGCCAATGCACTGTTTTCCCTTACTTAGACTCTGCAAGATTCTCCTAATGGTTATCCCCACAGCTGTCTTGTCCTTGCACAGTCCATTCTCCACACAGCAGCCAGAGTGACCTTCTGAGAGCATGAATCAGAGCATTGTCACTCTCACACTCAACCCAAATGTCACTTCCTGAGAAAGACCTTCACTGACAACCCCATCAGTAATAATCCCTGTTACCATCACTTCCTACTCTATTTATGTTTACTTTCTTCAAAGCACTCATCCCCATATGGAATTGCCATGCTTACTGATATGTTTACCTGCTTATTGCCTGTTTTCCCAAATAGAATGGAACTCCAGGGACCCTGGCTGTCTTGTTCTCTGTTCTGTATCTTCAGTGCCTAGTTCAGTGCTTCATATATAAATCTCTGAATAAATATTACTTACATGAAAGAATTGTAACGGATTTGGTGACAGGAAACCTATTTGGTGACAGAAGCAGACACACATATTTAAATCTGAGTTGCAAGAGAAGTTGACAAAGATATTAGACATCAAAGGATTAAAAAAATTAAGTGTTTGTTGCAAACTCACAGCAGTGCTTTTTAAACCTGGATGAGTACCATAAACAACTGCAGATATTACACAAAACTTAGACATCTCCACCCCACTTCCCTGGTTCCGATTCAGCAGATCTAGAATGGGCCCAGGAATCTGCAATTTTAGCAAGCACTCCCTGATTATTTTAGTGAAGTGTTCTGAGGACCACACTTGGAGAAATCCTGACCTAAACAGCTAAAATTTGTGTAGCATTAATTTAATGTCTACTGTGCAGATTTGTATGATATCTGAGGTGTCTCTGTTAATGTAATTATTGGAAAGTGCACTGGTCCTTCCCTCCTACCTACAACCACAGCTAATTTTCCCACAAAGACCACACTTGAATTCCACAATGTTCCCAGGTGGTTGGCGGCATTGGGTACTGTTATTCTCTTGTGTAGAAGACGTAGTTCTTTTTTTAAAAATTTATTTCTTTAAAAAAAAATTTTTAAATACATTTGTCTCTATTTACCCGCCACCACTTTCACCTGCCCCACCCAACCTCACCTCCCCCCACAATCCTTCCCCACCTTGGTTTCATCCATGTGTCCTTCACACCTGTTCCTTGATCAGATCCTTCCCCTTCCCCTCCCCACTACACCTCTCTCTCCCTTCCTCCCTCCCTCCCTCCTGTCCCTGTCGGCTTCCTCTTTCTTTCAATGTTGCTGATCATATTTTCCTTGCCTGCTTGCTTTGCTGATTAGGTCCCACTTATAGGTGAGATCACATGGTGTATGTCTTTCACCGCCTGGCTTATTTCACTTAGCATAATGCTCTCCAGTTCCATCCATGCTGTCATGAAGGGTAGTAGCTCTTTCTTTGTTGAAGAAAATGGTAGTGATTTACCTGAAGTGTCTCCATGATGGGACTCCTCACACTTGTTCCAGACATCCATCTAGTACACTTGACATCACACTTGGTTTTTCTCCATCAGCTCCTGTTTCTGGTCTCAGACCCATACCTTTCTGTGATACTCCACTAGAAGGGAGAGGCAGGGGATAAGACAGCATATGGAACATAGAAGAACATGAGAGAATGAGAAAGCACGTAAAACACAGGAAAGGGGTGAAGATGTTCTTTCCTGTCCCCACTCAATTCACTGGAAGCTGTACAATGACGCTTTGCCTCTTCCCCAGATGATCACACATTCCCCCTTCTTCACAACAGTGACGCTGAAGCTCACACACTGTGGAAATGTGAGCTTATCTCTGGTTGCTGTTTCATGTCCCAGTGTTCTCTCTAGTTGTCATGCTATTATGTTAATACCAGGGGTATCACATTGACAGAATAAAGGATGTAAAATGGGAATGGAGAAATAAAATTTTGTGAGGGCACAATAAGTACCACACATTGTAGGTTGTTTCAGGCTTTTTCTCTTCAGATCCTCAAAGTGATGCTCTGAGATGCACATCATTACTTCCTTTCTATAGATTTGGAGATAACTTCAGAGAGCAAAGTACATGTTCAAAGATTTCTAAGGAGGTGTCAAATGGACACAGGACACAACTTGGAGGCACTTTCATTGGCCAATTCTGTGACAATTTGAACATCAAAATAAATGATTATAGTGTTAGATGGTAACCCTTTGAGCATAGGAATCTATGAGTCATACTGATATAAAAAATAAAATAAATAGGGGAAGAGAAAATTCTACCTTTAGTCAAATTTCAACTAATAAGTCTGGAAGGAATTAGAAACTTAGAAACACAATATTTGATAACACCAATACAACTCATAGCAATAACTAATTCAGACTAGAATTATAAAATGATGCCCAATCAGTACCAAATCCCACTGCAGTCAGGAGTCACCATGATAACCATGCTTGCCAAGTGAAGATGGAAAAGAAACCCAGTACTGTTATTTGGTTCTTATTGTGTGCTAGGAAGTGAATAAGACTGACATGATCATAGTAATTTGACGCAAATATCCCTCACAATAATGATTCCTGGCAGCTTCAGCAGTCTACACACATACAAACATATGTACATGCTGTGTCCTTCTGCCTGTCTCACTATCCAAGAACACAGAAATTCACTGAGGTAGATTAGCTGGGGCACAAAAAATGAAAACTACATAATTCAACTGCTTCATTCAATACTAACTACACATATAAAGTTGAAAGCTACCATAAGTATTTTCTTTTAGTGATTAATTTTTCTGGAGATGACCTGTAGATGACATTTTTCTCCCTAGTATCAGTACATTGCCAATGATGCCCAGAAGCTGATATAGAAACACAGTCAAATTTATGTTGTGCCTCAAGTAGCTTTTCCATCTTAGAATAGCCTGTGCTTTTGACCAAAAAATTATGCAGCAGCTATTATTAAACATTTGGCTGCTGACAGTTTAGTGAAAATATAATAATTAGGAACTGTATTTTCAAAACAATGCCTTTTACAATAGTATCAAAAGTATGAAATAATTATGGATAATCTGCTTACAGATATGCAAGCCTGTTCAGTGAACACTAAAAAGTAGCTCAGAAAAATTAAAGAAAATATAAATAAATGGAGAGAAAAGTATCTTTGCGGTATCTATTGTTAAGATGTCACTTCCTCCCAAGTTGATCTATATAGTCAATGCAATCCCAATGAGAAACTTAGCAAACATTACTTAAAGAAATCAACAAGCCAGCTCTGAAGTTCAT